ACCCAAGTGATAGCAGGGGGTCTTTGGAGACATGCCCACTTCTGGCTTCCTAGTTCTTGCTTAGCCATTCTGATCAGTTGCAGATTAACTGTGTAACTGTGGGTGACCAGCAGAGAAAACCTTACTGTGTTCTGGAGTTTCTTTGACATGTCAATGGAAATGACTGTTAGAGAGCCACTGGTGTGTTTACTAGCTTCTTTTCATTCATGCTGCTGCTCTTGAGAAGGGTACTAGAGGGTACCAGGGAGCTTCCCACCCTCTTCCCAATTATCTCTCTCCTCTACTTTGACTTTGTATAGGAGAAAAACCAATATTGCAAAGAAAAAATGTTCATTGAGTTGGAAAACACTATAAATAAATAGTATCAGATCAGCCAAATTCCAAGAAAATTGACTCACTGAGTTCTTAGTAGTGTGATTGACCATGATGATGATAATCATGGCATTGATTTTTCTGGCTAATTGGGTTAATTACAGTCACATGGAAATCTGGGTGCAGTACCTCAGGACATCATTTCCTCATATTTCCTTCTTATAAACTCACTGGCTTTTCTATAGATCAGCTTCAGAGATGTGTGACCCAAAGTAGGTTTAAAGTAGGTGCCATGATGGGCAGAATGGGCTAGAGCCAGAATTTAAGAGATGATTAGGAATTTGATTTTTTGGGAAGAAACTCATATAAATGTAGGTATGTTTGAAGAGTTATGAAAGTGAAAGGGAGGCTTTCGTGTGTTTTAGGAGTGATGGATCCTTTCTGGAGGATGGTGATATACTTAGGTAAGCATATTCACAATGGAGACCCCAGGAACATGTACAAGTTTTATTCCTACAAATGGGGATGGATTACATTACTGGTTGGTATTTCCTATGTCAGCCAATTTCTCTGACCCATATCTGTTATGTTAACGTTCTTTTCTAGCACACTGAATTAAAATCTGGACCACTTGTGCTTAACTTCATCCATTATTCATAAACCTTGATTGCTTCTGACATTAGTATATGAATGAGAAGGTCTAGAAGATATTCCATGCTTGTGCAATTATTGAAATTTCCTGTTTATCATTTCGGTACATTTTCTAACAATTGTAGCTCTGTTGCTTAAGGATATATGATCAACAATTCTTTGTAGATACAAACAGTATAGTGTGCTCAGGTAAATTGTGCTTTTTGACCTGACACCAGCACCTCCCCCAATTCATATTGATTATCTTCAGCATCTGTAATGAAATGGAGTCTGAAAGTAAACTCAGGGCTTGGTGGGGGTGTTGTTTGTCTTACAGAGCAAACACTTGAAGCAGGATTTATGGAAGCAAAGGGCTGTGGGTCAATAGCTTAAAAAAAATACCCTCCAATGTAAACAGGCAGAGTACTTTCTGGGCCATGAAGGAGATGAGGAAGGAGACTGATGGGGTGGGGAGGATGGAGAGCAAGAAGACAGTTGAAGACTGGTCTTGTAAAATAGTCTACATCTGAAAGGAATTAAGAGAGAAGTGAGTCTGAGAAATGCTGATTCTCCTCAAACTTCAACCCTGGAGACCCCTTTCTTCCCATTTCCTGACAGGGACTGCACAGTAAACATTTCTCCCAAAATCTCCCACGTTCTCTTCTTAGTTGTCATTCTAGAACACTGAAACTGCACTCAGTGTGTTATACACCAGGGACAGTTCACGAAGAATTCAAGGACTGATATAGCAATTAGCTTTGGTTGCTATTATGATTCAACAAAGTCCAGAGTGTTTGAGCTCAGAGCAACTCCAAGCGTTTTCATTCAGTGCAAAAGCCACACCCCAGCCTGAAGAAGATGCAAATCTGCTACAGCCCACTCTCACCAAGGGTCTATAATGAGGACCAAGGTATCTAGGGCTAAATCCTGCACAGTAATTTTAATCTCCTCAAAATGTTACTTGTTTATTTTTCTCCAGGTAATTCTTCAAAAGAGTAAAATGAATAGTAGACAGTGACTGGAATTCTGCACAAGATACCCCAAGACCAAAGGGAATTTATTTACCAAGAGGGACAAAGGGCAGAAAATAAGAGACAAAGACTGGAGATAGAGGATGAGGGTGAAGGGGAAGGGAACAAGGGAGAGGGGGAAGGGATGTTTGTCCCATTAGGGACAAAGGACTGCCTCTGGATAGAGAGGAGACAAATGTGGCCCATAAACAAATGGTAGTTTATAAAGGTAAAGGGGGAAACACTGTGTTAGGATAAGGTGTTTAATTTTGATTGAGCATTTTTAATTAGGTCAGCCAAAGGGGGCTTTTAATTGCTGGTCTTCAATACTTTGGTATCTGGACCTTGGTAGTCAGCCTCCTGAGGAGGAAGTGGCCAAATAAGGGAACAGACCTTGGTAGCTAGCTTTAGGGATGTAATCTAATAGTTTTAAGCAAGGCAGATGGAATGGAGGAGAAAGGCAAAGCCTGCCAGACCCAGGCTGCCTAGAGCCAATCACATAGTTTCATGGACTAAAATCTAAATCTCAATATTTAAGGAATATTTAGAAACAAAGAAGTAAAGTATCTCTTCAACTAAGTCAGACAAGGTTACAGGATTTGGGTGGAGGCCTGAGAATTCCAAGGCCAGGGTCCTCCTCCCTGCCCACAGCATCAAGACAGCCTTTCTCAAACAAGCAGGCCTTATCAACAGTGGCCTCATATCACAGATAGGGAGCAGGAAGAGGTTCTCTAGAAAGGCAGAAGCTCTAAGCTATATCCAGGAAAACCTCCCCATGTCTTCATGCAAATCCTCAGCATAACATTTGAAGCATCTTTGGTAGGCTCTCTTTCTTGTTAAAAACAAAACAAGACCAAAAAACCAAAACCAACCAAACAACCAAACAACAACAAAACAACAGAGCTCAGAGCTCAGGTGACTTCTCAAGTCAGTGGTGGATCATTTTTACAGACATTTATGGTTTCATTAAGGCTAGCAATGCTCTCACTCTCGCTCTCTGGCTCCTGCCCACCCGACTTCATTCTATTGCCTGCCTTTTCTTGTGCTTTCAGATTCTAGAAGGCCTGTTCAAGCTTAACTTCTGCCTCTTCTGGTATCTGAGATATTGTTTGTGTATATGTGTGCTTTATTAAAACTTTGTTATAAAGAACATGTGAACAAAAGACATCACGCACTGAAACCAACCAGATCCACAGCCCATCTATGTCAAGTGAATGTCTGTTCAGTGAGAAGAGCCAGTCTGAAGCTGGGAAACTTTACCATAGACTTTACTCTTACCATGGAGGTACTTTTCATGGTAGATAAGTGGACATGAATATGTTAAATAGTATCTGCAGTTTAATGGTACTGCAATTAGGTGTTTACTTGGATTCTACATCTAGATAAGGAAACCATGAGTGGAAAAAAAACAAGAGTTGGGTGGTACCTCCTAGGAAGCTCTGTTAAGTCATTAAATGAAATATGACGTTTAGATACAAGACAATATAACAGAAGCAGGCATGATAACCCAGGGGGTAAAGGCACTTGCCGCAAAACCTGATCCTCCCCCCCCCCAATTCTGCCACTGGAACCTATATGATGGAAGGAAAAACCTGACTCCAGTAAGTTGTTCACTCCCCTATCTCAGAAAGGTCTACAGAGAGAGAGAGAAAGAGAGAGAGAGACACACAGAGAGAGATATGAACAATAAATAAATAAATAAATGTAAACAGTAGATAATGTTTTGTGACATTGTAGTGCCAGTTCTAGTATCAGTTTAAATAATGCATCTTCTAGCACCAGCACATTCAGCATCATTCCTTTGTTGTTCACAAGCAGTTTTTAAGAAGACAAACTCTAAAGCCAAAGTTCATATAGTAATATAAGTGAATAAAGTAACAGGCAATTTGAGAGGAACATATTTAAAAGCTAAACATGAATCAAATTCACTGATACAAAGCTGTATCTGCTATAGAAGAATGCCCAATGAGATGGCAGAAAGTCACTGTCTGGCCAACGTATCATGGGCATGCTACTAGGCCACATGGACTCAGAAGAATACATGAACTATTGTGAGGTAGTATTCCTCAGAGAACAGGATGTACTGAGGATAGCATCACACTGTGGAGATCAGTCTCAGCTTGAAGTGGATAAGAAACGGGTATTATTTCTAAATTTAACCTATTAACTTCAACAACTCAAATTCCCATGAGTTCACTAATGTCTAGGATGATGTGATGGTATTGAAGGGGGTTGACTACTCCCTGGTGCAATGCCTACTTTATATTAGAATGTATACAGACACTGTGATTCCCGGTATGAAAGACATAAACATTTACTTGCTGATGCTTTCAGCATTTGTTCCTTGGCATCAGATCTAAGAGTGCATATGTGTATGTGCGTGCACATACATGTAAACATACACACATAGGGGTGAAAGGCTTCTATTTTTTAAAACCATCTTTCAATAACATGATTTGAACTCATCTGCTGGTATCTTCAACATTGTAACTTTGTTTTGAAGTCATGGTACACAGATGTGCCTCTATTGGCAGCAAGTGTCCAGTGTGGAGGCCACACCACCAGCGCCAGACATTCTTTTTGTTATGTAATCACTTAATTAACCACAGATTTGATTCCCTCACCACCCAATCTCAAGGCTCATGCTAAGGCTTTGAGTGCCCCCTACAGAACTTAAATCAGCCACTTCCTCTCTTCTCCCACTAACACAGACTTTGTGTTCTGACAGTAACCATCTCACTTCAGAAGAAACCACTCACCATCTTCAGATGTGAAAACCATGTCCCCTTCTTGGTCCAATTGTAGAGCGTAAGGAAATATAGGTACTATTTAGCTTCTCTATTTTTATCGAGTCCAAAAATGCTATGTTCTATATTTAAGGATTAATTGTGGATATCTCTTATGTTTTCTTTGGTTTTGCTAAGATAATTAGCCGGAAAGGTTAAGACAGAAACACATTTACCTAAACAACTTCATTTTGCCTCTCTACAAAAAAGCCAAAACTTGGTAACATTTTCTGCCTTTTGCTGTTATATCTTTAAATCTTACCACTGCGAGCAAATGTGAAAATCCTTAAATTGCTCTCTTCAGAGTTCCCATGTCAACTGGCATCTGCTCAGGTTGGAGATCCTGCCAAAAGTCAAAGGAAAACATTTATGAGACAGAGCCTGATGGCTGATTATTTAATCCTCTGTGTCCAGCACTGCCAGCAAGCATGGGCTGTGAATGCCTGCTGCCACTTTAATAATAAGCCCTCTAACACACAGCTGAATACAGTGTACCAATGGATGCTTCCCCCTGCTCTAATAAGAGACCGATTATCGATCTTCACCTAGATGTTCCCATTGAGACCAGGCACTCATGAATACAAACGGAAAAGAAAAATGGCACACTGCATAATTAGCTTTAATAAATAGGGGCATAATTTCTATGGAGAAAATGGTGGCCAATCTAATTTTAATGAGGACAAACAGGCTTTTGCTTAATAGTGCATAAGAGGTGTAAAGTTCCAAATACATTCAGCAGCCAAACTAAACAGCAGCCTCCAAGTTCTGTCTCCTCCCTTGGGATGAAACTTTAGAGGCTGAGGTGGACTGCCTTTCTTTGACCACACTAGTGGACCCAGAATTGAACACACGAAAATGAAAGGAAGATGAATCTATGGGCAAACCTGAAAGTGCAAAACTCGAAATAGGATGGTGAGAAGTAATTAAATTAATGTTTAATCAGTTCTTGAAAAATACTTAAAAGGCCAGAGATGCCTTAGATTTAAAGAAAAAAAAAAGGATGACTCAAAGTCTAGAGAATTGACTCAATTGGTAAGGTGCCTTCCATAGAAGCATGAAGACATGTGTTTGTTCCCCAGATCCCACAGAAAGGCTATGCATGATACATGTCTACAACATGATGCTGGAGAAAGGGACAGAGACAGACTTACCAATCTTAGCCAATCTTTGAGGACTAGGACTAGATCCAGCAAGGAGACCTTGTTTCAGAAATAATACGATAACAATAGAGAATGACATTCCACAAAGACCTATCCCATGCCCTCCCCCCCCCACATCATTCATTGAGAGACTCTGGGATCTCCCAGTTCCATTCCGAAGTTTCAAGTCATTACCTGGTTGGAAGGTACACGGGACTAGATTCTTATGCATCAGAGTTATCTAGTTGTTTTTTTCTGAGGTGACAAATACCTGTCCCCTTATTTGACACAGATGGCATATGCAAATACATACATACATACATACATACATACATACATACATACATACATAAACTCCCAAGATGTTTTAAAGTTAGAACATGTAACATGTAGCTCACCAGTTACAGACTGTGTTATGGACGTATATCACTGCATGCTAGCTTTCTGATGGTAAGAAAAGACAGCTTTATCTCTAACATCTGCTGATTTTTTTGTGAACAATATATTTGATATTTTATTTTTTTTAGGACAAAAGATTGGGCCATTATAAAGGATGGTAGTTTTCACTGGTGAGCTTGGAAGAGTTGGTAAAAAATATAGACTTTTGAAACTTTCCTTCCGAAAGATTCTTAATCAGGAATCTGGGATGGTTCCAATATCAGGCCATCATATTGCACCTCACCCGAAGAGCCAACTCAAGACTCAGTAGTAGAGGCCAGTTGAGATATGTGTTAGCTGGTGCCTTGTTGTGTTTGTTAGAGGGCAACAGCTGTGGTATTTTTAAAAAGGCACCTGGCTTTTAAGAATCAGAAACCATCAACAAATAGGTGAGATTTGTGTAGATGGTGGTGATCACCTCACACTTGTTGCCATTATATTTTGAATAAATGATATTATTAAACCCAGGAAGCCAGACACACATACTCTACCACATAAACATACTGTCATTATTTGGCCCAAATCATTGAGTAACAACACTTTGCATAAGGGGTTTGAATCTTCTCCTTAGAGAGTTCGTGTAGGCCGTGTGTTTATTTGTATGACACATTTGCCTCCCATCTTATCAGCCACACCTGAAGACTCAACTTCTCATCAGACTTTTAAGTGGACTCTTCTCCATAAAGAGCTAGCATCCTTTGACTGATGACCGCAGGGAACTGGCTGCAATCTTGTTTCTGCTTCTGATTTTACAGCCTTAGACAAATGATATCACTTTACATCGGCACCCCATTCCCCCTTCTATGAAATCAGAACACTAATCTAGGAAATTTTGAGTATTTTTCAGCTCCAGCATCCTAGAAAATGCTGAGAAAATGGGGGTGGAACTGGAAAGTATCTGTACCTTGACATGTGCTTTTGGCTAAGGTTATGGGGAAGGAAATGAAGTCCAGAAATCTATGACACTGTAATTATTTTAAGATCAATAGTCGAACCCAGAATTTCAACTCATATGTCAATGCATGCTTCATTCTAACCCACAATTTCACAGCTCTATTCCCAGTACACACTTGCTCACTGACCAAGGAGTGTTCCTGGCAAGATTTTCCTTCCTTGGCTGAGAGAGGACTATAGTGTGTCCTTTGGGGTTCTCTCTCAGATTTTCTCAGGGAGAGAACATATGCCCAGGTCCCAGGAGGATAGTGCTCCCACACTCACAGCTGTACACCACATGAGGAGAAGCTATATGCAAGCTTAAAATATACTCTGTGTTTATGAAAATGCTCTGGGGTACCTTCAGATGTGTTCCAAGGACATTTCTATTATCAAAATATTGTTACGATATCTTCTGGATCCTTCCCTGGACTCAGACATTAATATTTTAATTCATCACAGATCCTCATTTAGTTGTCTAAAGTTCAACTCTTGGCAAGTACAACAGAGAGCCCTTGCTTTCCTGTAGAGTATTGCCTTATGGGAATCTGGGGGTATATGCTGTGAGGGAATGAGGGGCACAGACTCCTCAAGGGACAGGCTCATGCTCCCTGATACAGATAGGAATTAGTTCCTCAGTGTCTACTGTGGATTGATTCTAGCAGTACCTACAGATCCCTAACCCTGTGGATCACAGGTCCCTTAGATTTGAGCATAACCTATATGTATATAACCTCCTGTATATTATAAGCCATGTATAGGTTACTTGTAATATATAAAACCATCTGAGTATTGTATAAACATTCATTCTTATGTAATGTTTAGGGAGTAAAAACAAGTTTTTTTTTGGTTTTTACTTTGTAAAAAGTAATTGGTTGGTTGATCTTAGAACCCATGGGTATGGAGAGGCAATGGTACATAGTGAACAGTTAGCAGAGAGATGAAAATGAATACATACCTCTCTTCACAGAGAATTACCTTCTGTATGCACTGGGGAATTTGAGATCTTTTCTCAGCAAATACCAAGCATATCATACACAATTATTAGCTACTTTGCCCATGTTGTATGTAAGGTTTCCATAATTTCTCCTCCCATCCCCCCCCACCGGTTAATATTGCCCTTTCTTCCATCTTCCAGACCCAATATTCACCATTCTGCTCTCTGTTGCTGTTTGAAATATTTAGATTGCTCATATAAGTGCAATCATGCAATATTTTACCATTTTGGACTCGTTTCACTTGACACATATCAAAGTTCATCCATGTGCTTACAAATGCCAAGATTTCCCTAGTTCTAGGGCTAAATGATATTTAAATGTAATTCGTGAAAATAACATATATACACCCCAACCACATCCATCATCAGGATAGCACAGACCCCACAGTGATATGGCTGCCTGATTTTGTTGCCATCCTTATTTACATATAGGCTGTTTTCTTGCCTCGGTTTCTCTAACAGTTGATGAGGTTCCTTTGCCTACAGATATGAAATGTTGTGTGCAACATGTCCGTAACATGTGCAGTCACTCCAACCTTTCTCTAATTCTCTCCATAAGTCACGAGACAGGAAATTAAGGACTGTAAAGAGAAGAGAGGAAGGAAGGAATGTCAAAGTACTTTCTTTTCAAAGAGCAGCTCTCGGGGCCCCTTGCACAGGCTGTGAGTGAGCCGCACTTCTGAGTCCGCTGCTGCAGGGCATGCGTCTCTGCATACATATGCATAATGTCCTCTTCACACTTTGGAGCTAGCAGATGCTCCTTCTGCTTGGAAGGCGTTTGGTAATCCACTTGAAACTGTGAGGACTCATAACTCATTTATGCAAGTGGCAGACCCCTCTAGATGATATCCTTTGCTCTAAAGAATGATTGAGAGAACCATGGAATGGGGCCAAAAAACCGACAATGAAATGCTAGCAGGGTAGCAGTTTGCAGGAGGCCTCCAGTTAGATGCGGGGATTACTCTAGTCAAAAGGAGAGCAAGCTCAGGCAACAAAATCAAACACCAAGGAGGCAAGAACTGTCTGGTGTCAAGGATTAATTGTGTTACTATAAAGAAGACTCTAGGCATTGACTCACTTTACAAGTAGGTAGGTATGTATACAGCCCAACTCCGGACTCTCCATGCTAGTGAGTACTGGGCCAAAATATAGCCACTACTTTACACACATGACCTCTAAAATTACTTAAACCTTAAAGGTAGTAGAATAGGGGATGTATATGTGGTCTGTGGATGTCCAGGTAACTGAAGATGTGGTCCTGGCTCTCCCAAGGTAGTGCTCTGTAACATGCTCTGACTATGTCCCCTTGACAATGATCCTCCAGTCAAATCCTTTACAACTGAGTCTCAATTTTTTGCTTTGGTGACACCAAGCTCATGGCACTTCTCCATCCTTCCCTGAGGTGGCTGGCCTTCCTCCTCCTAACAATGTGAGATGCAATACCTGCCTCTTAGAAAGCTGTCCAGCTTTTCACAACCATTCTGTCCCTTTTGGTCCTAGTCACAGGGGCTCCTTCACCTCCAGAGCACTTTGTTTTCATCATGTTTTTGGTCTTGTCTTTTCCTAGACCACCACCCCCACACACACACACATAGGCAGGTTTTCCACACACCCTTGACCAAACAGCTGCTGCTTTTCCAAGTAGGGCTAAGACCTTCTTGTGATGCTTTGTGTGTATGTCTACCTGACCACTTAACACCTTTCCTTGGAACTTTGTTTCACTTTTTAACTCACATGAAATACAAATTTCTAGAGAGTAAGAGCAGTGTCCATAAAAATACCTTTCATACAGAACATGGAGCACAGTGCCTGTCTTACTCTGGCATTGAAAAGAGA